CCTGCTGATGAGGGGGACGGGTGCTTTAGGCATCTGCTGGCACCACTCCCGTGACACGGTGAGCTATCTTACCGAGTTGCACGTCATTATAACAGTAAGTGCTGTTGGCGAAACAATTCATTTGCTTAAACAATAGATTTTTAGGGCTAACAGGCATGGTGGTTAAGACACTGGACTCCTACATGTCTGACTGCGGTTCAAACCCTGGACCTAGAGGCTTGAAAATCAGCCCAAGTACATGTGCGTGTATGTCCAGAATCCCAGGAAGAAGGGGAGTGCAGTGTGGCCACTTCCCCAAGGGGTGGTTTCTCATTTTCCCTCTCCTTTTCTCTCTGTCCCTCTGCAGGAAGTGTGCATGTCCTTTACCTATAGCAACAACCTTAAAAATTTTTTTTCTTTTAATTTCCCCATTTGATCCTTAAATGCAGGATTATCATCTGTTGTGTGCTACTTCCCAGCTAACAGGTATATGCCCGATACTGTCTTTGTTTGGGTGTGGATCGTCTACTCCAAAGACTGGCTTAACTTTCTAACAGCGTCTAATTATTACACATCAAATAGACGTGTGATTATCTGTGAGTTTCTTGAGATGCTTTGTCCTTATCAAGGAGGGCATGTCACATGCTCCATACCACTTGTATGAATGAAGAAACTGAAGCTTGCATGACGTGTGGGTGAGCACTGGAAACAACTCATGCGGAAAACAGGCTGGCCAGGACGCCCTCGGTGTTTCATGGCCCTGTAGAGTCGAGTTGTGTCGTCTCCTCACAGTGAATGATCAGAGCTGGTGCAGGAACACACGGGGCTGGGTCCTGGAGGCTGGAATTGTCGAAAACACTTAGGGACGAGCTGCAGTTATTTTTATGTTTTTAAAAGGTACTGATTTAATTTAATTTCTATTTATTTATTTATTTATTTATTTATTTTTAATTTGGCCAAAGAGAGGGAGAAGGAAAGTGAGCGAGCCCCAGGTCTGGCCCTTGAGCTGTGAACAGCCACGTGGAGCCCAGCACCTTACCCGGCATGCCGCCTGTCAGCCCCAGCTGCAGTTATTTATGTAGAAACAAAGAAACTTTCAGAGATGATCCTTTAAAAATATAGGACAGGGCATTTCCTCTTCCCTCCCCCCCGTTTTACAAACTGTTATGAGAAAGATCTTCCGTGTGTTTCCCGTGAGCTGACTGACAGCACGTAGAGCACCGTATGGCCTCTGGCCGTGGAGGGTATCTGTTGAGGCATCGGATGTCTCGCTCTGTCAGTCATCCTCAGGGTGTTCACTGCTTTCCGGTATTTTGACTTTTTCTCCCGTATATCAGCAGCCACCCGGGTACCCTGACGTGTGGCTCACCATCACTTCACAGCACGTGTGTCGGCAGGTCTTCAGGTTCTTAGTGGCCAGAGGGAGCGCTGTGCCTACTTCAGTTTGCATTTCCTCGTTGGATATTTGTAGGGTTTTTTCTGGGTACTGTATATAATTTAGTTAGTAACTACGCACTATGACGTGTCATATTACATTGTCACGTAAACATTCTAACAAGTAAGTTCTTAGCAGTACAGGGGAAGTCCACATCTGAAAAGTGAATGTAATCTAGTTATCATTTTTCTTTCTCCCCTGCCTGCTGATGAGGGGGACGGGTGCTTTAGGCATCTGCTGGCACCACTCCCGTGACACGGTGAGCTATCTTACCGAGTTGCACGTCATTATAACAGTAAGTGCTGTTGGCGAAACAATTCATTTGCTTAAACAATAGATTTTTAGGGCTAACAGGCATGGTGGTTAAGACACTGGACTCCTACATGTCTGACTGCGGTTCAAACCCTGGACCTAGAGGCTTGAAAATCAGCCCAAGTACATGTGCGTGTATGTCCAGAATCCCAGGAAGAAGGGGAGTGCAGTGTGGCCACTTCCCCAAGGGGTGGTTTCTCATTTTCCCTCTCCTTTTCTCTCTGTCCCTCTGCAGGAAGTGTGCATGTCCTTTACCTATAGCAACAACCTTAAAAATTTTTTTTCTTTTAATTTCCCCATTTGATCCTTAAATGCAGGATTATCATCTGTTGTGTGCTACTTCCCAGCTAACAGGTATATGCCCGATACTGTCTTTGTTTGGGTGTGGATCGTCTACTCCAAAGACTGGCTTAACTTTCTAACAGCGTCTAATTATTACACATCAAATAGACGTGTGATTATCTGTGAGTTTCTTGAGATGCTTTGTCCTTATCAAGGAGGGCATGTCACATGCTCCATACCACTTGTATGAATGAAGAAACTGAAGCTTGCATGACGTGTGGGTGAGCACTGGAAACAACTCATGCGGAAAACAGGCTGGCCAGGACGCCCTCGGTGTTTCATGGCCCTGTAGAGTCGAGTTGTGTCGTCTCCTCACAGTGAATGATCAGAGCTGGTGCAGGAACACACGGGGCTGGGTCCTGGAGGCTGGAATTGTCGAAAACACTTAGGGACGAGCTGCAGTTATTTTTATGTTTTTAAAAGGTACTGATTTAATTTAATTTCTATTTATTTATTTATTTATTTATTTATTTTTAATTTGGCCAAAGAGAGGGAGAAGGAAAGTGAGCGAGCCCCAGGTCTGGCCCTTGAGCTGTGAACAGCCACGTGGAGCCCAGCACCTTACCCGGCATGCCGCCTGTCAGCCCCAGCTGCAGTTATTTATGTAGAAACAAAGAAACTTTCAGAGATGATCCTTTAAAAATATAGGACAGGGCATTTCCTCTTCCCTCCCCCCCGTTTTACAAACTGTTATGAGAAAGATCTTCCGTGTGTTTCCCGTGAGCTGACTGACAGCACGTAGAGCACCGTATGGCCTCTGGCCGTGGAGGGTATCTGTTGAGGCATCGGATGTCTCGCTCTGTCAGTCATCCTCAGGGTGTTCACTGCTTTCCGGTATTTTGACTTTTTCTCCCGTATATCAGCAGCCACCCGGGTACCCTGACGTGTGGCTCACCATCACTTCACAGCACGTGTGTCGGCAGGTCTTCAGGTGCTTAGTGGCCAGAGGGAGCGCTGTGCCTACTTCAGTTTGCATTTCCTCGTTGGATATTTGTAGGGTTTTTTCTGGGTACTGTATATAATTTAGTTAGTAACTACGCACTATGACGTGTCATATTACATTGTCACGTAAACATTCTAACAAGTAAGTTCTTAGCAGTACAGGGGAAGTCCACATCTGAAAAGTGAATGTAATCTAGTTATCATTTTTCAGAATTCATTTTTAATTCATTTCTCAAAATAGTCATTTTGACTTAAAGCATGAAATATTTTTTCCTTTTACATATTTTTACGGTATGCTTTTAAATGTCTTTGATGAAGAAAAGGATCGAGCCCAGCAATCTTTCTCATTCCTCACCTGAGTTCTCCCCTGCAACCTGCAGTGTTTGTTACACTAAGGAGCAGGACCCGGAGGTGCCTGTGTCCTCGCTGGCCGCAGGCTCAGCACCCGGGGAAGCTGAACTGTGGGAGCCTGGCTCGGAGACCGTGGGGCTGAAGCGCAGACCGGTACCGCTGTTTACGGCGCTCTGTTTCTGTTAGCTATCTGAATATCAAGTGTGGGTGTTGGGCCTACAGCCTGAAACCCCCTGTGCTTCTCCCAGCCCCCTTCCTTACCTGAGCTCCAGATTCGTCCCACATATCAGTCATGGAAAGAGGGTTTTCTTTCTTTCTTTAAGTCACATTCACGTATACCATTACTATTAAAGCATTTCCCAGGCTCGCTTGGGCAGGGCATTTACTAAGATGGAACAGCTCAGAGAAGGTAGCATGGCCCCGTGCAGGAACGATGCAGATTCGCGAAGCGTCCCCTATTTGTGTGTGGAATACATTTGGGCTTCTCTTACTACACAAACAAAAGGTGACAGTGGGATGACACATGTTATTATGTACAGCCGTGTTTACCTCCGTATGTAGAGATGACACATGTTATTATGTACAGCCGTGTTTATCTCCGTATGTAGGTGTTTCATAGCATCACTTTGTAAATCTCAAACATGCATACTACGTTTTTTCTTAGTTTTTTCTTTTTTTGTCATAGGGTACGTGTATTCGCTAGACAGACAGGGAGGGGGCGTTAAGAAATACCCCCCTGGGGGAATGGCCATGCTGCAGTCCCTTCTCCATTCTCCTCTCAGGATTTTGGGCTCATATACACACATGCCTGCTGTGTTTTTCAAGTTACTGGGTCTGGGATTCAAACCCCAGAGTCAGCCTTGTGGGGTCCAATGTCTTAATCACCATGCCACCTGCTGGTTCACAATTTATTTTTAAAGTTAAAAAAAAAAACCTTGCCAATTGGTTTATTTTCATTCAAATGGAAAGTTGGAATGAATGAATGTATTGAATTTAATTAAAAACGTTCTGTTTTCATTTTAGGCTGAACTGGAGGCTTTTGAAAACAGGCTGAAGGGTCGTCGGAAGAAGAACAGGAAAAGAGACGAAGTGGCCGTCGAACTGTCGCGATGGCAGAGATACAGATATTACCTCCTTCCGGTGTGCGGGGCTGCGCTCGCAGTGTTCGCGTGGTACCTTGTCCGTGACGTGGAATAAGCCGAGTTTTCACCTGTTACTATACCTCAGCCGGGGTTTAGTGCGTTGTCGAATTTGGAATATTAAAACGTGTGTCACAGCCCGTCACGTGCATGCCCGTTCCTCTCTGTCCCCTCCAGCTCGGGTTAGGAGGACGGAATGTAAGCCTCGCCGTAGTTAGCGCTCCAGAAAGGGCAGGGCGACCTGTGGGCGGAAGCGTGGCGGGTGGGACCGTGCTCCGTAAGGCTCAGCCGGGGGCGGGCGATGCGCGAGTGCTCCGTCGTCCTTTCCTGTGTTAGCTTAGTGGTTTCACTTACCATCTCAGACCAACCTTTGCTTTTTCTTAAGTAAAATTTTAATGAAACTGAGCCATATATGCAGCGAGAGGACTGTTTCTTAATGTTTTGGTTACTTATTAAAAGGTACTTTTCTTAATCATGTAAGCTTGTACTTTTAAAAAAAAAAGAAATTCTCTAAGAGACCTTTTACATTGTAACATGAAGCTATATAATTAGATCCCAGGCATTGGTTGATTAGTGTAGAATTTTTATCAGTGAATGAAATAGGTTTCATACCGTGTATTCCTCAGAAAATACAATGATTTGCAACAGATGCCAGGCCAGGTTCCTCATACGTGGCCATTTTTGTATAAGACGTTTTTTAACACAGTTGGCATGTTTTGTAAAACTGTATGTGTTTTTTTAAATAATAATACAAGGCCAACTAATATTTATGAGAGAGACGTGCTGAGCACAGGGCTTCGGCTGTCAGTCCTCTGTTCTCCTTTCCTGTCACCACAACCCTAACGAGATGGTAGCTACAAGCAACCAGTTCTTAGGAAAACAAACTGAAAAATACCAGTAAGCCAGATCTGTGTGAATTGTTAGTCATCTCAAATAATTTTGCTATTTAATTTTTGTACAATGAATGTTTTCATTAAAGTGTTTCATACCAAATTTGCAGTCTAGAATGTTGATTATCATTGAAAATATTCAGGAGCCCCTAATTTTAGGTTAGGCATTTGTATCAATGTATAAAACTTGAACATTCGATGCAGAACACAGTAACTGATAGATTAAAAAGAAGTCCCTAAGGGGGCCAGCGGTGGCATGGTGGTGAAGGTGCTGGACTCCCACGTGGTTGACCGTGATTCGGATCCTGGACCCAGTCGAAAGTCATGTGGGGCATATGTGTGTGTGTGTACACGTGTGTGTGCATGTGCATGTGCCCAAAACCCTGAGAAGATAAAGGAGAAGGGGTTGCAGCGTGGCCGTCCCTTCTGGGTGTGATTTCTCACCTTTCCTCTCTCCTCCCTCTAGTGAGCGCATGCACCCTACAACAACAGCAACATACCTGACAACATAGAAGTGTGTCTTAAACACAGTACAGAGGAAGGTTTTAGAATTCTTGCTGAGTTTAACTCAATATTCAATGTCATAGTCTTTAGTCGAGTCTTAGCTCGTATCCCAAATTAAAAGGCAGGCATTCCTTTTTTTTTTAATGGGCTTTATGTTTTACTTTAGATTTTGTTTTTCACACCTTTCCCCAGGTACAGCTACGGGGTTGGTGTCTCGGGCCACAAGTGGGCTCTGCTCCACTCCGCACCGCGGCTCTAACGGAGGCCGTCCTGAAGGACCGCGCAGGGATGGGGAGGCCGTTTCCCACGCGTACAGAGCTTGGCCTAGTAAGCAAGCCAGAGTGTGAGCCGGGGTGTGAGAAACAAGAGATGCTGGAAGGAGAGGGCAAGGACGCTGACGCTGCTTTAGAAGAGCCCCTCTGAGATGGGGTCCTGCCCGGCCCAGTGATGCAGGGGGACGAACCCCGAGCGGAAGGGACGGTGGATTTAGGAAAGAAAACGACACAGACTTAAGTAGAGGAAAGCGGGGATCAGCGGCCCGGCCGTCCATCTCTGATGGAGAGCTCGCACTGGTTTGTTCTCGGGGTTACTCTTACTCAGCGAAGCCAGTTTCTCCTGCCGGCTGCGCTTGTGGAGCACCTTGCGTCAGCGGTTCTAGACCAGCGTCCAGTGGCCTTCTCTGGCTGGTGCACAGCACCCTCAGGCTCCACTGCGCAGCACAGATCATGTCTTTGTGGGAGCTTTCGCTTGTCCTGCAGCGTCAGCACCAGGCCACGCCTGCTGTGAGGGCCACTAGTTCCTACCTAGGTCTAGCCTCCCACAGGGACATTGACTACGGCCTGAATGACCTCCACTGGGAGAGCTGAGCCAGAAGTCTAGGAGGGAGAAACAATGAATACGAGGTCCCAAAGATTGAGGGGCACGTGGCATGGCCGAGGAGCGGGGGGAGGGCTGGTGTGGCTGGAGCATGGCACAGTTGCAGTGAGGGAGGACATGGAGGCCAGGCCGTGCAGTTCGTCCGGGGAGGCCTTGGGGCTTTATTCCCGCTGCAGCAGACGCCCTGGGAGGTGGAAGCGGGAGAGGGATTGGCTGCCTTAAGGTGCAGCCGAGCGCGGTGGAGAGGCCAGGCGGAGGCAGGTGCACAGAGGCAAGGAGAGAAGGGTGCTGGTGGCTGCCCGGTGGTGGTGCTGCGGGGAGTCGACCCAGCGGGCTGCAGTCCCCAGAGCTTCCCCATCGCCCTGAGAGTGGCGCGGAGGTGCACGGTAGATGAGGCGGCACTAGAAACAAGCACCTTCGAGTCGAAGTGAAGTTAGACTTGGCCTGTGTCCTCGCAGTGTGTCCCCAGGGAGACAAGTAGGACATACTGTTCTCCCGTCCGTCTGTGCCCGTTAGAGGAGGGGACAGTTACCAAGCACCCACGGGAACGGCACAGATCAGACAGCCTGTGCGGACCTCGTCCCCGGCTTCTCCGCGACGCCGACAGAGGTCACCAGCTCACTCTTGGAAATTTGTAGGAAAAAATGTTTTTTTTTTTAAATATAAAATATATATACGTATACATACGTGTGTGTGTGTGTGTGTGTGTGTGTGTGTGTGTGTTTTAGTTTAAACATGGTTTAGGGGTTGACCAACACCTAGTTGTTTGTATTTTCAACTAATTTTCTTATTCATATCCAAATTCAGATGACTTAAAATCGATACAATTGTTCCTGAAATCATCAAAGGAACTTCAGTGAAGCAAAACATTGGAAACATTTACTTCTTTATTTAAAAAGCTGTGACGGGGAACTCCCGGCTTTGAAAGCTAAAATTTTTTTTTTTTTTTGGAGAGATTTTTCACTGTAGGGCACGTGTGCTCGCCAGACAGACAGAGAGAGACATAGAGACAGAAAGCGAGAAATCACCCCCCAGGGGGGATGGTCACGCCGCAATCCCTTCTCCTCCATTCTCCTCTCGGGATCTTGGGCACGCACGCACACGCGCCCGGCGTGAGTTTTAAGCCACCGGGTCCGGAACATGAACCGCGGTCGACTACGTGGGAGGCCAGCGACATAGCCATTACGCTAACTGCTGGTTCCCAAAGCTAAAAGTTTTGAACACAGATCTTTGTGGTAGTTTAGCGATGACCTGAAAGTATTTTTTTGACACCCTCTCCTTTCAAATACCCTGTGAGAAATACCAGAAATAAACTTTATTTAGAAATATGGTATTTAAGACAAAATACGGAGAGATTTCTTTTAAAGTGTTTTATTTCTTTTCAAGAAATACTTTTTGCCTCTATGCCTGGCATGGTGAGCCCAAGAGATGTGGCCTCACTGTGTGGAATCTGGGTTGGGGTTCCCCCGAGCCAGCAGGGAGGAGGCAAAGGGTCTAGCTCACCGCCAAGGATGACGTTTTTGAGTGTCAGGCCTTGGGGCTGGGACCTCAACCAGCTTTTAGTCAAGACAGTTGAGACAGTCGGGGACACCGATCTCCAGAGGAACACAGGGTTGGTTGGATGTTGAACCAAGAACACTGGCATGTGTCAGGAGCCGACACGTGAACAACCAGGGCTCGGCAAGTAAAGACAGCATCTTGGGCTCCACCCATGGTGTGGAAGTTAAGGCAGCTGGACTCCACATGGCTGGCTAGTGGTTCGAGTCTTGGACGTGCTGCGAAAGACACCAGGCATGACGTGCATGTGTCCAGAATCACAAGGGGAGAATGGAGAAGGGATTACAAGGCCCTCCCCTGGGGGGAGGGCCTCCTTTCTTTTTTCTCTTTTCTCTCCAGCAGTGTAATTCTTTTTTTTTTTTGGAGAGATTTTCACTGTAGGGTGCGTGCGCTCGCCAGACAGACAGAGAGAGACATAGAGACAGAAAGCGAGAAATCACCCCCCAGGGGGGATGGTCACGCCGCAATCCCTTCTCCTCCAGGCTCCTCTCGGGATCTTGGGCACGCACGCACACGCGCCCGGCGTGAGTTTTAAGCCACCAGGTCCAGGACACGAACCGCGGTCGACTACGTGGGAATCCAGCGACATAGCCATTACGCTAACTGCTGGTTCCCTCCAGCAGTGTAATTCTAGGCTGTAAACTAGGCATTTTCCTCACTGTCTTAGAGAAGACCCCTGTTGTATAGAAGACGGGGATTAAGCGGCTGGTCTGTGGTCCTGGGCTGGGTTCCAACAGGGGCTCTATGACTTCTTTTTTAGGAGATTTTATGCATATTTAACTTCTATAAGCTTCAGTTTCCTCCTCAGTAAAACAGTGCCTATAAGAGAAATGACAACAACTGCCCAATAAATTTTAGCTGTTATTGTGTGTCTGCAACTATTTTAAAGCACTCCATATTTGTTTAATCTCCATAACCGTCCTATCGAGGTGGGGCTATTATTCTCATTTTGCAACAGACAAAACTAGGTTTATTTCAGGAATTAAAAACCAAGAGAATAAATAGGTCATTTCGTGAAGTGCCTAGCTCAGCGTGCTTAGAAAGCCCAAGCTGCAAGAATACGGGTACATGCAACATAATCTCCTAATTTTAAGACTTCTCTTGCAAATTGATTCACAAATCAGAAGAAAATCTTGTGACCTGAGACCTCTCGCTTGTTGCTCATGTGGGTCCCTGTCACTGGGAGTGTTGTTCCCTGGGAGGACTGGTGAATTCTGGCAAGGGCAGGGGCATTCGGGCAGATCGCGGTGGGGGCGCATGTGAGTGAGTGAGGTCCAACGAAATTCCTCCGACATTTCTTATGGAACCCGTTGTTCCCGTCTTCCCAGTGGCCGGCGTGGTACGTGAGGCAAGTGTGTACGTCTGCCTGTACCCCTTCGGTCACGGGCTGCATGTTCCAGAGGCTAGAGTATATTACTGTGGGGCGATGTGGCTCTCCCCACACGCTGCTGCTGCTGCTTTGTTTTGAGAGATTTTTGCTATAGGACACGTGTGCTCACCAGAGAGACAGAAACAGAGACAGAAAGTGAGAAATCACCCCCCAGGGGGGATGGCCACGCTGTAGTTCCTTCTCCTCCATTCTCCTCTCGGGATCTTGGGCACGCATGCACACGCACACCAGTGTAAGTTTTAAGCCACTGGGTGCAGGACATGAACCTTGGTTGGCTGTGTGGGAGTCCAGCACCTTAACCACCA